ACCTATTAAAATGTTATGAGGAAGTGAGTAGTAATTGAGATAGCGGAAGACCAGTTGACATAGCTTACGTGGACTTTGCTAAAGCATTTGATATGGTATCCCACAAGCATTTAATTTACAAATTAAGGTCTATTGGCATAAAATAATTTGTATGTATATGGGTAGAAACGTGGTTACAAGAACAGATCCAGAGGGAAATGATAAACAGCTCATTTGATAAATGGTCCAGAGTGGAAAGTGGATGCCTCAGGGTATGGGCCTGGGACCACTTCTGTTTATCTTATTCATAAATGATATATAGGTTGGAATAACTAGCTCAATCTCAGTTATTGCTGATAATACCAAGTTATGTAGTACAATAACTTCAGAACAAGACAGAAATTTACTGCAGCAAGACCTAGACCAGTGGTTCTCAACCTTTCTAGGGTCAGGACCCCTTGGTAACATTTGCGAAGTTGTGGTGACCCCTAACTGAGCACTGGACTCTAGACTCAGCAAGGCACTGGACTCAGCAAGGCACTAGACTCGGCACTAAAAACAGAAGCACACTCACAACAGAGAGAATTCAAGCCCTCACCAGCCCCTGCTACCTGCTTGCCCGCTCTGCCTCCTCAGTAGGTGCAGCCATGCAGCCTTCTCATTCTCTGCACTGGTAAGCCACAGCCTCCTGGAGAGCCCGCACTGTATGGGAGGTGGGAGAACAGCAGTGGCTGTGAATAGAAAAGTTCTGCTGTACACAACCCCTGGCCAAGGCTGCTGCAGCGACATCTGGTGGCCAGAGAGTGATTGACACTGCTCCTCTAGGAGGCTGAAGAGCTTCTCACCTAGCGTAGCAGAAGGCACATGTCTGGGGCGCTAGACCCCTGTGCCCAAGTACAGTTCCCTTTGCCCAGGGTAATATTCCTCAGTGCCTAGGAAGGCCAGTCCCCTGTGCCCAGGGTTTCAGTCCCCTATATCCAGGGTGCCAGTCCTGTGCCTGTTGCCAATATATGGGGTGCCAGTCCTGTGCCTGCGGTGTAATTTCCCTATATCTGGGGTGCCAGCACCTTGTACCCAGGGTGCCAGTCTCCAGTGCCTGGGGTTTCCATTCCTTGTGCTTGGGGGTAACAGTCCCCTGTGTCTAGGTTTCCAGTCCTCAGTGCCTGGGATTTCAGTCCCCTGTATCCAGGGTGCCAGTCCTGTGAATGGGGTCGGCCCCCTGTGTCAAGCATAGCATAATCAATAAATAAACAAAAGTTTTAAATATCTTTGATTAAAACATGTCTTACAAGAATAGCAAGTCTCAATTTTAAAAACTGTTAACAATGTTGTGACATACTGGGGTCGATTTACTGAAAGCGAATATTTATGGATGTTGTGAATATTCAATTTTCAAAGAATACCCAATCATGTGCAAAAACAGTTTTTTTTGCTTGCACATCATTAGATGATAGAAGTCAGCCGAGTTCCATTCACTCAAAAAAATACAATACACCAACCAGCGACCGCCCATAAGCCAGAACCCTTCACTGCGGATCCAGTGGAGACTGCCTTTTTCCAGTGAGGGAGTCCAGAAGGCTATATAGAAAAATAAAAACAACCGGGTGCGTTTCCTGGTGCAGGTAAAACCTTTTTATTCAATAAAAGAGTAAACAAAAATATACTCGCAAAATAGGCAGTATATAAAAACATCAAAATGGACTAATAGTCCTTGATTATATAGTTGCTGTGGATGTGACAGCTGGAGAGATCAAGGAGACACTCAGGCACGCTTTCAGGGACACACCCCTTTCCTCAGGTCTTAGCTAAGGGAGGATCCAGTGACAGATGGGACAGCAAATTCAGTATGGCAAGTGGAGAATCTGTAAATATGTGTAATATTTACCTATCCTTCACTTTTCCGAATGAACGCTGGTGTGATCCCACCAGTGTTCAATCATCCATAACTAATGAGATAGTAAACATTTACTATCTCCTTGGCTGTAAATGGATAGGAAGCACCCAGTACGGGACACTTCCTATTAAGTGAGTGATGGGTCTGCAAAGGAAAAGAGCGAGGATCTCAATCTCTTTTTCTATCTCAAAAGGTCCCCTGACAGTAATTTTAAAAATAAAAAAATAAATAGAATGTCCCCTCCACACACAACATAAACATGCACCAGTGGGCATGCATTTTGGTGTGCAGCTAAAGGTTAATAGGGGAGAGCAGGGAGTGGCATCGAAAGGGTTAAGTGTACATGGCACTGGTGGAAGATCTTTCATGATAAAAATTATATATGTTGTACAAATAGAAGAATAACAAAGTATTTGGTTTATGTATGTTTGAACCTTTTCCAGTATAATCAAACAGATGAGATTCTAAAAATCCAGGCAACCCCCCACTGAACAGCATAAATCCTAATTCATAGGCTATTTTCGAGAGTCTTTTGCTGATCCATGGGGTGATTTTTATACTTCCTCCTAATAATAAAGAGGGATGCTGTTTCCCAGCTTTACTAGGATTTACAAATACTGGTAAATACAGAGGTTGTGGAGCTAAGATTTTGATATGTAATGGGTGAAATTGACAGCTTTTCCCACATATTCAGCAAAAATCCTGATTTATCAGTGAAATGTTCCGTTGTAGAAGTACATTAATAGGAAAGGCTAAATTATGGTGGTTTTAAAAGTAACCCTGTCTCAACAGGGTTACAATGCCTGTAAAAGAAAAGGGAACATACTAACTTTACCAGTGACCGATGTGTTGACCACTGTGATACTGCTCCCCGGCTAGTGCAGGGATATCTCACTTCTGGGTGTGTAGACTAGCTAAACCCTGCCACATGCTGTGGTTCCTCTCACTGGCTCGTATGTCACTACAGGACCTACAAGTAGGCAGGTGGTGGGGGTAGCAAGTAAATCAACCTAAACGTTTGACTATTTGCAGTGGCCAGGGAACAGCATTACAGCGAAGTTTCAACACACAGGATGCTGGAAAGGTACGCTCCTTTTACATGCATTGGTTTTTTAAGGGTGCAGTGAGCTTTAAATGGCCCCTGAGGGTTATAGAATCTTCATTTTAATTATTCTAGACCTGTTCTGCTAAAATAAGCCCTACACTACCATCATTATTTTACATTTTGTCCACAAAGAAAAAACAAACAATAAAAAAAGTAAAATAGAAAAAGTAAAGCAAGAACATAATTAATGGTAAAATACCCCAAGAAAAGCAAAAGGATAAAATATAAAGATTAAATAAACTAAAAACTTATTTTTAAAGCAAATCAAGCAGCAAAATGCTACTTTTCTGTAAAAAAATTGCCAATTGGTATTTTGACTAAATCACTCAGCTCATCCTTACAAAATATTCTCTTGATCTACTAAAACACCACTCCCAAAACATTGCATCCATAGTTACACCAGCAATACGGGACCTGCTGCTGCCAGGGGTATCCAACAGGCATCCACTTTCAGAGCACCATCATCGCCATTGCCTTGACGGTTGAGTACATGCTATATGTCAATTACAGGTCCATTCAACTTTTCCAAAAAACAGAAGGGTTTTAGGAAGTATAACACTTTAGCAACAGTGTTAGGAAGCATTGATCCATTTTGCATTGGAGCACTTAGTTATACCCTCCACACTTTATTCCTGGACACACTGTCCATTGTCATATTCTTCACATTCTTCATATGTTTTTTTGATGATAGTGTCCTAGACGAGGCTGCAGGCTGTTTCCCTTTAAATATTTTAGCCCTGACAGAGCAGAGTTTACGTAATTCACTAAAAAATTGCATCACCACTAAATCATACACTGAAAAAAACCCTAAAAAAGTATACATAAAGAAGATTACAAAATATGAGTGTAATGCAGTATGCAGTGATACTTTTTTATTGTACTAACCTAATACAAGCTTTCAAGAGTTTTTACTTTATTACTTCAGAACAGAGAAAGAGAGGGAAACTCTCAAAAGCTTTTCTTTATAGTTTCAAGTAATTTCAGCAAACACCAGGGCTGTGTAAATAATCCCCTATGTTATACAGCAATGCAGAATATCACCAGCTACAGAAGACTACAAATTTCAGCAATAATTATTCAGCAATGCAGAATACCACCAGCTGTAGAGCACTACAAATCTTAGCAATACATCATATAGAAATGCAGAATCGCACCAGCTGTAGAGCACTACAAATCTCAGCAATACATTATACAGCAATGCGGAATAATACCATCAGCTATAGAGGACTACAAATCATAGACCATTGCAGAATAATAGTATATGAATTTGCTACATACTCTGTGCTGCCACTCTACTTAGGGGTTCTGGCCTGATGTCTTGGGCAGAGGGTGTCAAGAGGGGTGCAGAGGGTCTGAAGAGGGGTGGGGAGGGTCTTAGTAAGGGGAGAAGTGCGGGTGGCAGAAGTGCTGTAGGCAGGCATCGCATGGTCCCCAGCAAGCACCGGACCCAAGACACCCGAGTCAATTTGAAAAATGTAGGTGCCGGTATCGGTTTTTAGTATTGGGACAGAGGTCAGTTATAAGGCAGAGTGCATTGGTCAGTTGGTGTAGCGCAGAGTGCATTGGTCAGTAATGTAACGCAGAGTGCAGAGGTCAGTAATGTAACGCAGAGTGCGGAGATCAGTAATGTTACGCAGATAGAAAGGGGGACTTACAGTGCTGATGTGAAAATCATGTGCTCTGTCCTCTTGTCCACTTCTTCTCCGGGTGGTGGCGGGGGGAGAGCTGAGCAGCGATGTTTCCTGCAAGTAAAGCCCCAAACAGTCTTGTTATGCCTTCTCTGGCTCTGCAGGTCTTGCTCTGCTGAAATACACAGGCAACCAATAGCAGCTGTGGTCGGTGGAGGAAGATACAGGTGGCTGCCAACTACTTAGGAGCCCGTACTGTGAAGCGGGCAGGCAGCATGGGCAGCTGAAGAGGAATGTTAGTTATTCTACTAATATCAATATACACTTTAAATATACTTTTTGTCACCGTTCCTTATTCATATGTCTTTTTTTTCTCCTATTCTGATTGTCTCAGATATAATGAAGCAAAAAAGAAAATGGACCCTGGCTTTCCAAAACTAATTGCAGATGCATGGAATGGCGTACATGATAATTTAGATGCTGTGGCAGATGTCCGAGGAAGTGGTAAGAAAGTCCATGTGACATCGTCAGAATCTGACGATGGGCAAACAATGCTTGCAGATAGTGCAGTGGCCCTCTTGAATACAGGGACAATTTAAATCAGATATGGTCCAGACAGGTTCTGGAAACCCCTCATGCTGTCACTTATACCTGCACACTGCTCACATTCCTTATGATGGTCTAGACCAGGGCTCAAAATGTCAGGTCCTGAGCTACTAGCCAGGCCTTAAAAGTTACTCGCCACTAGTTGCCCTGCCTGACCCCACTCCACCCTATCCTTCTTGTGCACAGATGTACCGAGTGTACCTGGGAACAAACGAATCATTCTCTTGCTGGACCAATGCTGGGCATAGCACAAACACACAGGGAACAACGTGCACACAGGGCAAATGCACAGCACAACACACAGGACATTACACATGCGCACAGCACAACACACGGCATATGCACAGCACAGCACAACACACAGGGCATACGCACAGCACAACACACATGGCATACGCACAACACACAGGGCATACGCACAGCACAACGCACAGGGCATACGCACAACACAACACACAGGGCATACGCACAGCATAATACACAGGGCATACACACAGCATAATACACAGGGCATTACACGCAGCATGAAGGTGCCCATACACCTGACCATTATTGTACGATAATCACGGGTGATCCCACAGTCGTACGATAATCTGCAGGTGTATGAGCAGCGTGCAACGCATTTATGGTCGCACGACTTTCATCCTTCGAGCACGCTAGAAAGCAAGCGCACACTAGCAAGCGCACACTGCCCACTCAGCATTGCAATCATCGGCAAGCCCTCCCCTCAGCGGGGGGGGGGGGGGGCTTGCGATGATCGCAAGTACAATGTGCCTGTCCAAGATGGGCAGGTCGTACAAGATTTAAATCACCTTACAACCATCGCACAACGAAAGTCGTGCGATGGTAGTAAGGTGTATGGGCAACTTAACACACAGAGCATTACACATACACACTTGCTCATATTAATCAATACATTCGTGTGTAACCATACACATTCCAAACTGTATAGATCCTGTGGCACAGCAGGAGTTAATCACTGCTCTAACTTCTGCAGAGTTTACTTTGTTTACAGCAGAAAGCTCGGGTTTCAGAGCCACGGCCGGGTTGCCCAGGGAACACTGACGCTTGCTCTCTGGGAAGCTTGCACTGAGCATGTGCAAGCAGCCAGGACATTTCCCCTAGTCAGCTCCTGCACTCTGAGGAGGAGCTGCTCATCCGTTCTGTGGCTGGATGAGCACAACAGCTGCCTCTGTCCGTGACAGTGCCAGACTCAATAGCCAGGGGCGTATCTGCCGCGAGGCAAACAAGGCGTTTGCCTGGAGTGGCAGATTCGCAGAGAGCGGCACCCCGAGTGATACTACTCACGCGGATCACGGATGGGATGACGCGGACCGTCGGCCTGGAGTCTAGACTTTTTTTTCAGATGTTGTTGGGCAGGAAACTCTTCCTTCACTTCATGACTGACTGGCACTGAAGTCAGAGACATAAAGAATGCTTTTCACATTTCCTCATAATGCTATTTTAACTGCAAGTAAAACATGTTTTGCCTAAAATCAAGCTGCAAATTATAAACCAAGATAGTTCAGTGCACAGTAATGAGCAGGGCCGGATTTCCCACAAGGCCAACCAAGGCCCGGCCTGGGGGCAGCAGGGAGTAGAGGGCCAGCAGGGTTGTGGAATTTCTATCTCTCGATGCCTGGGACATGCAGTTCCGGGCGCTGGGCGGGTAGTTGTTTTCTACATTTAGCCCTGCTTTGGGCAAGCAGAGCTAAATGTACAGCGGGGAAGCTGCCGCTTGTTTTGCACAAGTGACCCCCGCGATGACGACGAGATCACTTGTATGCAGCTTGCAGGTCTGCCATTCTCCATGGGAGGGAACTGTGGCGGGTAGAGGGGGCACATTGAGGAACCTGGTCTTGGGGCAGTAGAGAGAGTAAATCCAGCCCTGGTAATGAGTAGGGCTCTGCATTGAAGTTTGTAAAATAATTGCGAAGTATGTAACTGACCAAAATACAATAAGAATTATTATACATTTTACTAAACGCTTTTCCACTATTATTTCCCGCTCTTGTTTTTCAGGCTACAGTTATTTCTTTAAAGATCAATACTATCATGAAATGGAAGATAGAATACTAAAGATTGTTAAAGTTGGCAATATTAAAAGTGATTGGCTGGGTTGCTGAAGGGTACATTTTGACATTTTTCAAATATTAATTTTTGTATGTATTCCCGTCTACATGTGTGATTTTTATTTTTATTTTTTGCTGGTTAAAGGAAATGTTGTGAAGGACCAGTCTGGCACTGGTATAATGACAGTGTGTGTAAACGCACCTCATTTTTGTGTTAGAAATATTTAATGTGTTGTGTGCATTGGGAATGCTTTAATAACTTCAACAGATATAGACAGGCATGGCACTGAGTGTTTTAATACAGTTATGTGAAATATTATTTGGGCTAGATATGCAGTTTTCCACAGGATGATTATTTAATTTCTGTTTCAGAATGGAACAGCATTTTTGAAATGTGCTGTTTTCAATGTGCCATTTACATGATAGTAAATAACCATGATAGAATACAAACAGGAAGGCATATGCTGCTGGTATAAAGTATATTTTAGTGATCTGTCTATACTGACTATTGTAACAAACAATCTATGTATTCAAGACATAAACATGACGGATATGCTTTAAATGTCAAGAGAAAATGTAAGCACAGTTATCAGAATCAGATATTTAAATATACAGAACAATTGTGTCACTCAAGCAATATTTGTAAATTTTCCCTTTTATTTGTTTGGTTGAATAAACCTTATGATTGCAATTAGAAAATGTTATAAGATATACAGTTTAAATACTGTACTATGAAAAAGGTTTTGAGTATCAAAATAAAAAATCTCTTTTATTTATTTTTGCCCGATTTTCTTTTAGGTAGACCACATAAGTCTGGATTAGTGGAGCAAAACCACTAACCAAGGCACCCACTTTTGTTACTAAAAATAAAATGCTGCAATCAATGAATATTAGCAAGAATGCTGCTTGTGCCTACAATATTAGCATTTGGAGGAAAAGAACCTGTGTTCTAAGCAGAAATATAAAATAAGTATTTACTATAAGACAGGGCTCAAAATTTCCACTCACCTGCTCACATTTGGGGAGTGGAAATTTGGGTCTCCAAGTACGGGTCCGTGGGCCAGCTACGGCCCGCAGCCGCGGGAGAAGCTCCGTGTTCTGCATCTGACAAAGATGCAGACCGCAGAGCAGCTCCTGTCAGCTCCGGCTTCCTTCGGCCGGAGCTCTGACAGTTCTGAGCTCCGACCGAAGGAAAGGATGTATGTGAGGAGGAACAATCCCTGGTTATCTGGGGGATGATTAGTGAGGTCTGCTGCAGACCTCACTAATCACCCCCAGATAACCAGGGATCGATCCTACTCACAGCCTCCTCCCTGAAAAGACGTGAACAGGTGAGGGGGCTTGGGGGGTTGAGTGTATTATTTTGTGTGGGGGGGGGAACTTTCATTGTGGGATGGTTGTAAGGTCATTAAAATTTCGTACGATCTGCCCATCTTGGACAGGCAGATCGTACTTGCGATCAAGTCCTCCCTGCTGAGGGGAGAGCTTCCGATGATTGCAGTGCTCAGTGGCCCGTGCGGCATTCGTCTTCCGACCACGCCACCAACCCACCAAAAATCGTACGTTTTTCGGCGGTTTTTCAGCGTGCTTGGAAGACGAAAGTCGTACGACCTTACAGTAGAAGCGGTCGTACGCTGCCCATACACCTGCCGATCGTACGATCACGGGATCACCTGCTATTATCGTACGATAATTGGCAGGTGTATGGGCACCTTTAGTGTATGTGTATATTAGGCCCCATTCACACCTACAGTATATTTCAGGTGTGATTAGGGATTCCTGTGTCAGGAACTTGCGTTTACCTGCAGCAGGAATCCCTAATCTGCCGTTTACAAGCGGCAACTATCATAAGATAAGAATTATCATAAGATTATTTAAGAGGGTGTGTTTAGTGGCGGAGTTAAGGCCCGGGGCAGGGTAAGGGTTAGGTGGGGCAACTGGGGGCTAGTAACTCTTAAGGCCTGGCTAGTAGCTCAGGACTTGAAATTTTTAGCCCTGCTATAAGACACCAATGGGAGCATGACTAGAATACAATCATAGGGAGGAAGCAAAACATAAAATCTACTCTTGTTCTAAATGTTTTCTTTTCACACCTAGGCTCTTGTAGGAAATCTAATATCAATAGAATGTCAATCAGAGAAAGAGAGTTTATGCAAGAAAACTCTGGATGTCATCTTCTTTACTTATGGAGGACTGCACAGGTCATAATAATATCAATACCCTTGTAGTGAGAATACATAAAAGTTCCACCAGTTACTGTATGTCTAGGCATAGCTAGGTATAGATAGTAAACAGATAGATAAACCTACATATGTGCATGCTTCATTCTTGCAGGTATGAAACCTTGAACTGCTAATTCTGGGTTCTAAATATGGCTGTAGCTGGGGAGGAGCTAGCTGTAGGGCCTTTTTCCCCCAGGCCAGGTCAAAAAAATATATGTTGGTTTGTGGCCCTAAGTGCTGATACTTCCCTATTCATACCTCAATCAGAGCATGAACTGCAGTCAGTGACAGCTGCTTGGCGTTATGAAGCTACCTGCTCCCTGTTTAGACCTGCAATCAGAGCACCTTCCATCTTTCATCACTGACTTCCTTTGCAGCTCTGAACTGTCATGTAACTGAATGCAGAACTGTTGTGCTCGTTTGTGAAAAGAATTAATGAGGATTATTTGTGATGATAGCATTATTTTTGTTTTTATTTAGGTGATTCCATATTATTACAGAGCAGTGTTAATTTAGTCAACAAAATATATATATTTTTTCCCATCATTTAGCTGTTTTTCCGTGATAAAAACTAAATGAAAAAGAAATACTAGAGCAGTTACAGGGCCAAAAACGATGACGAAAATACATATTAAGACACTAATAGCCCGCACACATGTAGAGGTGTAACCCTGAACAGAGAAGAGAGGAAAAGGGAGATTTATCCCTATTATGAACTCTATAGTAGGAAGACCTAGGCAGAAAAGATAACTAGAGGAGCCATAGGGACTAGAAGAGGAACAGAAGTAAAAAAAAAAGAAAGAGAAGATTGGAGGTCAAGAAAAAGGGAAGTACTAGGACTCCCCTCATACATCCTCCCCATGTAGAGGTGTCCCAAAGATGTGAAGTTTGCGGGCGAAAGTAAAGCGTGAGAATTCCAGATCTATGGGGACCAAATAAAGAGTATTTTTTATGAGTGTGTAGCCCCTACCTTAAGTGGAGTGGCTACTAAAACTTAGTATTGCTAGCACTGTAATCAGTCTGGCTAATTTGCAGTCTGGCATTATCTGGTTAATTTTCTGCTATTGATTACACCTACCTGTGGGGTGCGACCCTGCTACAGAGTGGGGCAGCCAATAGGGTAACATTAGAAGTGTCTATGCTTTATCAGCCAATCACTATGAGTTTGATAGCCAGCAGGGCATGCTGGGGAAGTGAATAAATACTCAAGGATTGCCATGTGCTCAGGACAGTCCATCCCCATGCTTGGCTGGGGGATAGAATGTAAGGTTGGAGAAGCTGACTAGGCCTTAAGCCTGGAGGAGGCCATATGTGGACCCAGGTGGGGTCTGGAACCCTCTGGGGAGGAGAACCAGAGAAGCCTTATGACTGCTGGAGGTACCAAGAGCTGACCTGGACCTCAGGAACAAGTCTGGTGTCTCTTCCAAAGAAGATCTCATGCATATCCCCATTCAGATTCTGTTCTACTGAAGTATTTTCTGCACTATGGAAGCCTGAAGGGATTGGTGAGTCTGGAGTCAGTGCCTATTTTTGCCATGGATGTCTGAAGCCCTATACCCTCTCTCCCAGTTTTGCTGTTTGTCAATAAAGCATTCTAAAAAGTCCTTAAAGTGACTGGCGCCTAATTTGTTGATCACATGCCCCTTCACTGGCTTATTATCTGCCCCTGAGAGTGAAATGTCAGCCCTTCCTACCCTTTGGGGGTCCACCTCAGGCCTCTGGCGGTCAAAGGGGAGGCGCTACAAATGTCTGTAAGTATATTAGTAAGTTTCTCACAAAGAACAAATCTATACATTGTTCAACTTCTGCAAATTTCATAAATTATTTCCTCCAAGCTCTGGCAAAGAAGCTGTAAGGTTTTTTAAAGTGTTGTCTACTAACAATGATGGGTAGCATAAAATATACATAAAATATACATACATAAATACAATACATAAGAATCATAGAAAGCATGACATTTAGACCTTCTATACAATGCGTACTATGTCAATACTTTCAAATAAACATATGGTCCCACATGGGCGTTCGTAATACGCGCGTTTTGGGCCGCACGTTTTTACCGCAGTTTGCGGTCCCCGAAACACGAGTCAACGAGAGCTATCCAGCTGTATCCTGATGGATACGTGCGGAAATACGGCCTAAAAGAAGCTCCTGTACTTGTTTGGGCGTAGGGCGCTCTCCACCCTGAGTTCCAGGTTGACAGGCTGCAATGTTCCTTACTCCTGCCCTTTGGAGATCCATGCTGACAAGCTCTCCAGCACCTTCCCTTGTGTGGAATTACAAAAGTCTGCTTAATGCAAATATACATTGTGTTGGCAAAGTTAACCCTTGACTTACTTGATTGCTATTATTTTGTAACGGATTGATATTGGACTTTCATTGAAAGGTCTAATGTTAGTCTTAGAGCCGTTCACACCAGATGCAGTGCGTTCCAGTCCAATTCTGGCCAGAACGCACTGCATCGCATTGCGGCCGGCTCACTTTTTTTGTGGGGCAGGAGGTGGCGTGGCAGGCCATTGAAGTGAATGGCACTGGAGCTACTCCCCTACGGCCGCAATGCGATGGCCTGCACAGGATCGCAAGGCAGATTGTGGATGCGGTCCAGTGCGATCAAAATAGTGCTTGCAGCATTTTGATTGCACCGGACCGCAGGCACAATGTGCCTTGTATCCCGTGCGGGCAATCGCATTGCAGCTGAAGGGCGTGGCTACGGTGCCACTAACTTCAGTAGCCCACCACGCCCCCTCCTGCCCCACAAAAAAGTGAGCCGGCCGTCTGGTGGTTGCTGTATTCAAGATTGTGGGCGGGATTGGACTACATGTCGCAACCACCGGGCGCCAATGCCATCTGCAATGAAATCAGCTCTTGGCGGTTGCAACATGTAAACCGACACCGCCTACAATCTCTGCAGTGCTGGGAGGATATTACATCACTCCCTGCACTCTATGGTAGATAGCCGCACAGGAGGGAAAGAGGGAGACATTAAACCACGCACTTCTGGCCCTAATTGTACTATATATATATACACTGAGTGGCCAGATTATTATGACCACCCCATCAGTACTTCGTTGGGCCACATTTTGCCTTCAATACTGCGGTGATTCTTCTTCGCATTGACTCCACGAGATGTTGAAAGGTGATGCGAGGAATCTGACACCATGCAATCATTGCATAGCGCATGACTCTCATATTTGTAATCTTATTTATATATACTTCGTTTTTTTCAGTGGTATGATTTAGTGGTGAAAGTTATTAGTGCCCCCCCAGTTTTCACTGTGGTATCTTATGTGCCCCCCCCCCCCTATAAATTGTTCCTAGAGTCACCACTGCTGGGAAGTGTACACAATTCTGTGAGTATAAACATACTAGGAAACC